TGAAGGCCCCCCTAAAGGTGTCTGCTTATACCCATTTCTGGAAGGGGGAAGTGTGTAAAAACCTGTGAAGTAGCTTTCGACGTTTGCAGCCTTTGCAGGAACTCAGCTCTTTGTTGGTGGCGTCTGTGTGGGTCGCTCAGGGATGGCAGACAGAACTTGACAGCTCTCGCTCAGGGGCTTGGGGGCCGGTTGTAGAGCAGGGATGCTTGTCCTTTTGCAGCGTGCGGGTAATCCGAATCGTAGCAAAAGCGAAAGAGGTGATTTTGGGAATACTTTTTGAGTGTAGAGCGAAAACATCTTGCAGGATCCTTGCTTCTGACAGCCAATGGCCCTGTCACAAGCCTGAACCAAAGCGTGTCCGAACACGCATTGGTCCACGATTGTTGGAACCACATTGAACCGCAATGAAGTAGATACGTTGCTTCTCATGAAGTTCCACAATAATGATTGTTGCTTGCCAATTCCCATGCCAGGTGTGCTGCAGCGCTTGCTTATGCAATTTTCAGGCTGGTGTCCCTGCGGCTTTGCATGATGGTGTCTGAGCCGAAGCCAGTATTCAAATGGTTAGCCATGTGTGTGTGTGTGTGTGTGTGACAGGGTTGGTACCACTGTGCGCAGATTGCAACCGCTTGTTTGAGAAGAGAACAGCATGCGCGATGCCAGGTGGCAAACGATCCGGATGCGTTGAGTGAGGACTGATTGAATGTGAGTGGAAGGGGGTTTTGGGGGGGTTATGACCCATGCGCGTTTGTGCGTGTGTATCCGTGCTGAGGACCCCGTGGCCTTCCAGACAATCTGAAGGCACTGTCAAATTGACAAGCCAAGCTAGTCTTGGTGTTTGCCGAAGCAGGGCATGTTTTTTGTAGCGTGGCCAACGCAGTGAGTGACAGAGGGTCTTTGTTGCTTTGCGGCTCAGCGCAAGCCACATTGCCTAAATGCAAATGAACGGCCTGGATGGGGAGGGGACTATGGTTGCTTGTCAGGAAAGGTCCGGCGTGTTTGCTTGGCATTTGGCACAATGCTTGTTTGCTGCAGTTGCCCATCTGTTTCATTCGCCTCAGCTTTTTTGAGCTGGTCGAAGAGACCTCGCATACATCGCATACGTGCTCGTTCTTCAGACAAGGGCAGCGTATGCTCGCCCTGTCCGTTCCACTTCATTGCCTTCAGATGGCTCCAAAGTTGTCCCATGCAATGCCCTTCAACAGCTGAAAGTGACCACTCTGGCTACTCAAATTGTTTGACAGAACGCTTGCTCGTGATGTACCTCGCGGTGAACAAGCTGTGGGCACTGTATGCCGCGATGAGCACTTTGATTAGATGCAGTTCTACCATGCTCCCGATGAGATGAACGGCTGCTTGAATATGGCTCGGTTGCCGTGGTTAAGTCTACTTGTGGTGACCTGCTCAACTTGTTATTTGTACAATCTGCAAAATGCAGTGCATACTGTATGCGAGCCGATTGCAGACCAGCGGGAGGATACTAAATTGTATACCCTACGCCTCCGCATCCGCATGAACCAACAAATGAGTGCTGTTGTGTGCGGCCGTGCTTGCATTGCTGGGTCTGCGAGTTTGTGACACCGCAAAGTCTGTGCAGCTGGCGCATGTGTTTTTTTCCGCATACAGACTTGTTGGCATTACATCCATCAACAATGCTCAACTTAGAGATTCTAGGATGCCAAGAGAAGGACCTTATATAAACGATCGCATGTTGCGCCGGTCACCAAGTGGCTGAACCACGATGTTGTTTGTGTCGTGAGTCTTCATCACAGCATCGCCTTGTGTGCTGCGCATCAGCCATCTTCTGAAGGTTTGTTGACGCTTGCAGATATCAGCTCGCAACATCACCACTGACTGTATTTGGCTTGTGCCATGTTCACGCCAAGCAAGAAGAGCAGTACACACACACACACCAACACAGAGGACGAGTTGACCGACATTCTGCCAGTCTCTCGCGAGGCAAGCCAATTCACAGATCCCATCAGGTCACCCAGATACCCACTCCCCGCTTTCAAAGCCACTGTGCATCACTGTGCTTTTCGTCGTCTCTTGTAGCATGCATCCGACTCCCAAATAGCACCAATAGCACGCGCAGCCCGCTTTGTGTATTAAACCAGACAGCCAAGTTTTGAGCCCGACATACCTTTAGCACCTTTGGGGCGACCTCTTGGGCGCAGACTCTAAATTGCCCCTGACCGCACGTGAGTTGACGGGTGCCAGCAAGCATCCGATGCTGCGGCCGCTGCGGCTGATACCCTCGGGTGTGCAGGCCACCGCACAAGGAAATCAGTTTGTTAGGTGAACCTGCAGCTGAGGTCAGGGTACGAGCATGGTATGAGTTTAATGCTGTGTGATCCCACAAGGTTATAGGGCTAGGTTCTTGCATTCGATGTTGTTGGGCCAAGTCGATGTGCAATTCGGCCCGACAGTATATTGCCAAGGGCTATCACCGCGAGATTATCGCCGCCTGCAATGATGCTTTCGCCTACTCGTCTACGATGCTACGGGCTTGTGGGGAGAGGAGCTATCATATTGATTGCAGTTGATGCTTTGCATAATGAGCTGCTTGTCAGATGACTTTTAGCCGCAAGTGCGTTCCGGTGCAGTCATCAAGGCCAGTTATGGAAAGAAATCACAGCACTTAATTTTCTCCAACTACAACTTGCTCTCTTAGCATGTGCATGTTGGGCGATTGGCGGACCCTGCTGTTCCACCGCACAATGGGTACACAATGTATCTTTCTTGAGAGTAGTGGTTCTGGGGGCAGTGGAATCAGTCTTCGTACTGTGTGTTGAGATCCTATTTTAACGCCTCCGGCTCAGGCCGCCGACATTACAGGCCTGCTTTCTTATTTGCGTCCCTTTGGAATTCTCCCCTTGCCCCCTTCCCCTCTGAGATGTGTGCCCCCCTTTCTTTGTTGAGATCCATTCCCCCTTTCCGCCCTAAGGCCTTTTTCCCTCTGATGTTTTCCCCGTTTCCTCCCTAAGATGTTTTCCGCACTCTCCCTGTTGAGATCCTTTCCCCCCTTTCCCCCCTAAGGCCTTTTCCCCCCTGAGATCTTCTCCCTTTTCCTCCCTTTCCCCCACTTTCCCCCCTAAGGCCTTTCCTCCCTGGGATCTTGTCCCTTTCCTCCCTGACATCTTTCCCCCCCTTTCCCTGTTGAGATCCTTCCCCCCCTTTCCCCCCTAAGGCCTTTCCCCCCGCTGAGATCTTCTCCCTATTCCTCCTTCCCTTTCCCTGTTGAGATCCTTTCCCCCCTTCCCTTTAAGGCCGCTGAGTGTTTTCACTTGGGTTTTGCGGGGTTGCTCCTAGGGTTGGTCGTGCGCCAACTCCGGCTCAAGGGTTCCCGGTCTCATTGATCGCATGACACATGCTTCTATGTTGTTTTTCACCCTCGCATTGTTTCTCTGTCGGCATGGTCTCGTGTTTTTAAACTGGCCCCTTTGCTGATTGGGGCCGCCTGCCGAAGATCCTGCGACGGGATGCTCTTTTCCTTTCTTTGACATCGGGCCATTCCCGACAGAGCACGGGCCGTTTGGTGGCCATCCTTGTTGGCTTGCGGTAGATTAGCGGGCGGGATGCCAGCAATGGCTATGTCGCTCACATTGCCCCCCCCTTGCCAAGTGATTTGCCCTGTGCGCATGTTGTGACCCAACGCCGATCAGCAAACACTGTTGTTTGCTGATACATCCAACGTGCTTGTAATTGATTAGTTCACTCCGGCTTGGCTAGCATATTCCCTTGCAACGATGAGTGGCTGTCAGCTTTTAACTTCTCATTGCTCTTGCAAGCCTGGCATTTGCGCAGGGGCGGTGGCTTTTGGGTTTCTCTTTTCGGCTTCCCCGTGGCTCGCAGGTGCATGCCTTTTGAGGGTAAGACCGGTTGGCATGAATTGCTTGCCGTCTTATTCAGCATGTCGTTGTCACGTGCCGTGAACCTCGCTTCCAAACGGAAGCGGGACCAGTCAACTCCCGAACCGGGAGCCGCGCATAACGATGCGCCGGACGAGCGGCCAGTTTCACACAATCCTCGTCCCAAACCGCATGCAATGGCCAACAACCCATTTTGGTGGGGCCCCTTGCCGACCATGACTAGGTTTCCTCAGCCCCCTGGACTTTTTATCCCCACACCAGCCCCTCAAGCTCCACCTCTGGTGTCCTTGAGCAGACCGCGCTTGCCCTGTTTTGCGCATCTGGCCACCCCAAAGGCCCCTCCACCTGGGAGACCAGCGCCGAGGAGCCATTTGCAGCCGAGGGCGCCGTGCCCAGCGCACGCGTCTGCCCCTGCGCAGGTGACCAAAACTGCATTGCCTGCAAATACGGCGCCGCGGCCAGCATGGCTTCCCAAACCTGCTCAGACAAATCGTGTCGCGTCAGGCTTCGTGTTACAAAGCGATTTGGAATCTGTAGGCAGGTCCAAGGTTTGCTCAACCTGGCTTTCCATTATTCAAGACTTGGGGTCCGTATCAGAACTGTATGCCGCATCTTGTCAGAGCTCCAACCCTCAAGAACTTATCGCAGTGTGCTTGCGATCTGCAGGTGTGGCAACTTTGGACAACTACTTTCGGCAATGGGCAAAGTTTTCCCAGTTCACACGTCACAACCACTTACTGTGGCAAGATTTGCGTGTGCATCACCTGCTAGATTTCCTGCTCATTGCGAGGCAGGGCGCCTCAACGGACAGAGCAGAAGTTCGTTCAGCTGTTTCATCAGTGGCGAAGGGCCTCAGATGGGTCGCCAAGCACGCAGCTGCAGCTCACATTTGTGACCTTCTGTCGAGCCCTTTGGTTGGGGACCACTTGAAGTCGAAAACACCATATGAAAAGCGGGAAGCAATTCCTGTTCCGTGGGCAGTAATCTTTCATTGGGAATCTCGAATTCTGTCTCACGAGTGCAGTAGGTTCGAGCGCCTGTGTCTGGGCGCCTTCTTGCTAGCAGTGTGGGCCTCTTTCAGATTCAATGACATTCAACATATTCGCTTGTGCTCGTTGTGTGCCGAGCGTGGAGTGCTCAGAGGCATTTGCTGGCGAACAAAAACCACACACAGTGGCACGGCGTTTGCCGTGCATTGCATCGGCTTGGCCTCTGCAGACCCCAATCACGGTTGGGTGCATTCATGGCTTTCGACTTTGCAAAGTGTTTGGAACGAAGGCCGGCAGCAGTGGTCTCCTGATTGGTGCCCTGATTTCATTTTGCCCGACGACGCGAGACCATTTTTCTCACGACCAATGAGCTATCAACAGGCACTATTCTGGTTTCGTTCTTTTGTGCAGTGCCCTTGGCTACGCACGCCCCTGGTAGACAGACAGCCAGCTCTGTCCTTCACACTTCACAGTATGAAGGCCACAGTCCTTGCCAGCGCAAAGCAACTCCGACTTGACAGAGCAGCCAGGGCTGAGCAAGGTCATCACATAAGTCGATCTGACAGTGTACAACTGTACGGCAGAGACGATACCGCAGATGCCTTGTACGTCCAAGAATCCGTGATTACCGCCATCCGCGCAGGATGGTGCTGCCTCAGACCTTTGGCCAGGGGATCCCAGTTGTCCCCGCCTGAGATTCAGTTCGCGCGCATCCCGTTGCCTCCGCAGCCCTTTCTACCCCTGACAGTCAACAGGCCCAAACCTGGTTTGAACGCTCCTCAGCCAGCAGCAGGCGGCGAGGCAGGGTCAGCGGACTTGGATCCCACAAGCTCCGAGCCATCGTCGGGATCAGACACCGACTCTGATTCTGAATCAGGCTCGAGACATACCGATGCAGCAAGCAATGAGTTTTGGACCCCGCTAATTGCACACAACCCCGTGTCTGGCGTCATTCACGCCTTGGCGCAGTCTGGGCTCGACAGGGCCAAAGTGGAAAAGGCAGAGCAGGTAGCACACATTGCCTGCGGAGCTGCGGCTCACGAGTCTTGCAGGGTTTTGCATGAAGTACCAGCAGAGTACCTGTGTTGCAAGCGAGTCACTTGCAGACGCATCTTAGACTCTGTTTTGCAGTAATTCTGACGACCTCAAAAAAGAAAAAAGAAGTGCATTGCGTGGAACGAGTGGCTGTTGCTCTTTTCCTTCTTTTTTTTTTGAAATGCTTATGGCCATCGCATGGCACCAGCCATTTGCAGGTACACAGTGTCTCGCATTGCTGCTGGAGCTCCTTTGGGATGTCTTTCCGGATATACCGTCTCGGCCTTGTTGCAACGGGGTGTCTTTTGTCCCGGATTCTCCCTATGCCCCCCCCTCAGTCTCTTGCTTGGCTGTGGAGCACTTGCGGGGACTTCCTTTGTTTTTTTTCTGTTTTGTGCAGCTATGCCGGGGAGGGGGTCTGTCTCCTGGCAAGCCAGCCAGCTGAGCAACTGCTGTGCAAGGTTGCGCGAGGCAGCCTGGGCTCAATTTTTGAGGCGTCTTGCTTAGGCTTGCCAAACCATGGATGCAATTGTTGTTGATGCGCCAGAGCCTGACTCCGGTAATCCGGAATGGTCAGCCCTCATGGCGGACCTCAAAATGGCACCCGAGGTGCAACAGAACATCATGCATTTTGTTTCACCTGAATTGTTCGCCTTTTCAAGCTGCAAAGTGGAAGATTTGGACCCGCTCATCAATTTACTTTTGCCAGAGGACGGGCAACCTGAGGCGCTGCGCCTCCGATCAGCAGAAGCCAGTAAAATCAGGCTACTGTGGCTCAGGGCCAGGCCTTTGTGCGCTCCGCAGGAAACTGATCCTGTGCCGGCGCCTTCTGCGCCCCAAGCTTCTTCGCAGGGAATCGCCAGCTCCTGGCCAGACTCGGCCCCCCCCAAATTGACGCAGGAGGCAATGCAATCCATGATCTCCCAGTTCAAATCTTCTTTTCCAGGAGAAGTGCTTGACGCTGACTGCTTACCCAGCGTGCGGCTGTGGTCCATAGTCCACGACTCCCTGCGACCACAGCAGCAGCTCCGCTGGATTCCTTGGCAAGTCCGCATGTCGCAGCGCGCGTACCAGGAGAAAGTCGAAGCCAAGGCGTCTCGCCAGCCCAGGTCCGAAATCCAGTGGCTGACTCAAGCGTGCTTTGACGACGCTCCCGAGCTGCAGCTTGAAGGGGTGTCATTGACCCCAAATTTCCTACAGAAGATGCAGCTGGTACTGCGCAACGCGTATGTGCTTTCGGGAGGAGCGCACCTGCTGCATTTCAAAGCCTACGACAAGAAATTTCTGGACTTGGTCTTCCCCCGCTTGGACAGCTCCAGCGGTCTGAGGGGAGTCTCTATGCAGGAACTCCTGCATGCTGACCGAGCCATGTGGAGCGAGATCTCGCGGCTGCACGCAGATGGCTGGAGCTTGGATGAGGCGCTAGTGGAAATGACGCAAGTCAGAGCTGATCTCCACTCCCTCCTGATGCCGCGACCCAAAATGCCGAAACAATTGGAAGTCCGGCCGGGCAAAGGCAAGGGCAAGGGCGTGGAGCGCCCTCGCAGCCGATCGGATGAACGAGGGCAAGGCTCTTCACAGGGCCGAAACTGGGCCACTTTCTT